TATATATATACATACGTAGCTAAACTCTGCTGGTGCTCACGTCACTATATCACCGTTTAGGCTAATCTGATGTTTGTAAAGCCTATAAACACAATGATTGAACAAACATTACTATTTCTGCGTGCACGTTTTGTAATTAACAACATATCGTAGATTAGCTGGGCTAACCGTTAGCTGTTAGCTATTGGCGGTGTCTGTAATAACTCAGTAACTCAATAAACAGTCCGTGAAAAAAATATTTTTTCCAGCAGATGTCTTAGTTACAACATGATTGAGCTAGCAAAGCAGTTTTGTGTTGCTATGTGTGGTATTTATTCAGTTTTGGGAAATCACGATGTCTAGAAAGCATCAGTGGCTGCAGCTGACAGGGACCGCTAACAGCAGCAGCAAAGCTAACATCAGGACGTCATCTCCTCCCAATGTCGGATACGACATGAAACTACTCCAGTTAGCTCAATCATGTTGTAACTAAGACATCGGCTGGAAAAATATTTTTTTCACGGACTGTTTATTGAGTTACTGAGTTATTACAGACACCACTAAGCTAACGGTTAGCCCAGCTAATCTACGATAACCATGTTATTAATTACAAAACATGCATACAGAAATAGTAATGTTTGTTCAATCATTGTGTTCATAGACTTTACAAACATCAGATTAGTCTAAACGGTGATATAGTGACGTGAAAAATGTGATATTGATATATGTATGATACATATACATATATATATATATATATATATATATATATAACGTTATGTATAGCTAAACTCTGCTGGTTTTCTACCCGGAAGTATTTGTAAACAACAAGGCGATTCCCTCTATAAATCGCAGAACTGACAGACAAACACTGGACACATTTCCCCCACCAATACAACATGCTAACGTTATTAGCACAAGCCTATGGCAGTATTGTATAAATTATCCTAGCGTCTAGCGATCTTTTCCTCTTCTCATATAAAACCAGGGACAACAGCAACATTTAACAAAGGTAACGGCACTCAGTGTGGCTCCATTACAACTCACAACATTCACCGACAAAACAACTGTCTTATCCTAAAACACGTTTTCCAAGCAAATACAACATGCTAACGTTATTAGCGCCAGCCTATGGCATTTTACATGGTGTACATTAGCTTAGCGACGAGCGGAGATTCCTCTGCTCATATGAAGCCAGGATAAATCACACACACACAACTTAAAATGCTATTTTAGTGGAGGCTTTATTGTCTTCACAATTTATTGTTTCTTATCTGTGAAATTAAAGTAAATTAAAGCATTGTTTCCACTGAGGGAAATGGTTTCAGCTTACAGAAACAGACAGGAGGTCTGTGTCACCGCAACGCTGAGCGTGAGGGTGGGCGAGTTCAACTTTCTGTCAACAACGGGGGTGTTTTGAAAACAACCCCATTTTCACAGGTAACTTAGCCTGTCCCCCCACCGCAGGAAATAATGGATTAATCCTGGAAAGCTGTTGATGTAGCACTTTTCTCCTTATGAAAGTAACACAGCGATTATTTGACCAATGAGAATTTGGTCGAACGAGAGCATAGCGACCAAATAATCGACTAGTCGACCAGGAGACTACAGCCCTACAAGTGTCGTTCTCCTTTGAAAGATTGGCATATACACCCAACCATCCACCCTTTCCGTCTTCCTATTAGGTTTCACTGCAATAACAGCCTCATCTCTTCCTCTTGTTTTTCTGGCGAGGGCAGTCTCCCATGATTTGTTACCTGTAATCTTTGACACATGAGGCTGCAAACACACAAGAAGACAATAACTAGAGTTAAGACCTTTCGTCACCTCGCTCTGTCTTTCCCTTAGTCTCCATCCCCTTATTTCCTAGAAAGAGCTAAATCCCGCTGTGACCTTGCTCTGCTCGACTCACCTCCGATGTCCACCTCGCTGAGCTGTAAAAAAAAACGAAATAAAAAAGGATAAGTGGCTATCTGTCTTAGAGGAAGATGGGGAGATACAGTAAAGGAGATGGAGGTGGAGTAAAAATTGGGCAGAGAAGAAAAGATGTTTTGGAAATGTGGAACAGGAGGCAATTGCATGGAGGCAAAGGACGAAGGTGATAAAGAAAGAGTAGGAATATAGGGATTAATAAGTGTAGGAGAAAGAAGAAAGGATGGGTGGAAAAAGGGAAAGGGGGAGGTAGATGAGAAAGAAGAGGAGGTGGGGAAATCAAGGGGGGTAAGGGTAGTTGAAGGACTCTGTTTAAAGAGTAAAATGAGGCAGAAGGAGGAGAAAATGACAGGGCGGCAGGAGATAAAGGAGAAAGAAAAGGAGAAAGAGGAGGTCACGGTTATCACTAAAGCTATAAAGACCCTGTCAATGTAAAGACGGGCGGACGGAGGGCAGGAGAGAAGAAAGAGGGAAAAAAGCGAGGCAGCAGGGTGGAAGGCGAGAAGAAAGGGCAGAGGAGCACGGTAAAGGATTCCACTATATCAATATGAAAGAGTGAAGGAGACGGAGAGAGCTTAAGTGATTTTGTCAATAAGATGTTCTCCTGCTGGCCTTGACTCACAGATGCCTCTCAGACTCCCTCTGAGATCGTTTTTTATCCCTTAACCAGCAACAGATAAATGACACGTTTCACTGGTAGAAGAGAAGAGGTCAAACCATTTTACTGCATATAACATGCATATAAAACCAGTCCACATTTATGTCCTTGTCTCTGCAGTGGATACAGTCTGTTCTCCAAAGAGCTTGGAAAAATGTCAGTGGGTAATTCCAAAACATCAAGGGGAAACGCAGCAGGACAAGAACTAAAATAAGGCAGCGAAAGTCCGAGTGGGGCTGGTGGGAGGGGTGGTGGATGGGTCCAACAAACACTGATCTTCACCCTGGAGAGTGGTGTTCATATCCCTTAAGTCTATAAAGCCAAACCCTGTTCTTTTCCTAAACCCAACCACATGCTTTTGTTGTTGAAGGAAAAAAACATCAATTCGCAGTGTTGCACCGACGCAGTGCGTTTATTTTGAAAGAGACTGCATGTAAACAGTAAATTCTCTGTGAAAACATAAGTGCATTTTGAAAGAAGACAGGCTGAACTTGACTCTATGTCCCAGAACGTCAACAACCAACACACCCAGGGTACCTTGCATGTTGTACCTGAACGTGGAAAGTCCATGACCAAATTTCGATATGTGACGAGGTCAGAGTGAAAATGTGTTGAGGATGCAGTGACGGATGGTGCCCCTTGCAAAATAGTGTCAGGTGAAACACAGTGACAAAGCTAACTGTTAGCATCACATGGCTAACGTTACCTAACAGTTATTAACAGGTTAAACGAGTCGTTTCAGTAGCAATGTGACTGTTTAACAGCTCAGTGTCGATGTCAGCCCTACTGCTGTGTTTGCTCATGCTAACCAGTGTTACCTCTCTGAGTGACAGGCTTATAGCCACAAACTACATCCAGTAAATCAGACCGGTGAATTACGTTCAGCAGATGGCAGTCGGCATGCCCCCAGTTTGGAGAAGCAGGCAGGAGTACCACCACGGTAGCTAAGCAGTGTACTGCTGGGGACGAGGCTGATGCAAAATGCATTATAGCCACCCAAGAGATATATTTTAGGCAATTGGACTTGCTTGAGTTTCTTGAAGACGTTTCAACTCATCAAAGAGGTTTCTTCAGTTCTAGAGCCATCAGCAGTAGCATCAGTTCAGTGACAAACATCTCCAAACATTCAGCTATGGTCCTCTGGTTGGTAACACTACACACCACACTGGACTCAGATGAAACAATGGTTTCCTACGACGATGCCAAAACAGACAGTAACACAAACAAACTCACTGATTAAGGCAGCAGCATGTTAAATGCCATGTTAAATTATTGTATTTCTCAATGGAGTCTGGCTTTATAGAGAGCACTGTGACAAATTCAGTCAGAAATCGCTGACTGACACCAAGGAAAGTGGGAAATATTCTAAATATGGCATCCATTATTTTTAGGTGGCTAAATGTTTTGCTACTGACCCTGCTACTGCTTCTCCAAACTGGGGGTGTGACGACTGACAACACCTGTATATAATACCTGGATTATGGTATCTCATACAACCCACTTCCAAAAAACCAAACTATCCCTTTAAAGCATAACTCCAGTTTTTTATTTCCGTGGCTTTGGTCGTGGCGTCTACCCTGTTATGAAAACATTGTTTAGTAAAGCAGCCACATGATGCCAAATCTCTTAGGATCAGATTATGATTCATCATTCTGTTATGAATTTAAGTCCTCGATTATAGAAATGCAAACGAGGAGGTCACAGCATACCTCAGTTGTTAGAGGATATTGGCGAATGGAGCACAATAATCACATCTGCAGTGTATGACTCATATGATGCATGCATTGAACACTGATAGGGACAATGAGCTGCGTAGTGTGTGTGTGTGTGTGTGTGTGTGTGTGTGTGAGACAGTGAGCCAGAGAATGTCTCTGTTTCATATCTAAGATTGCCCAGGGTACATGGTGTACATTACAAACTCAGTGGCTGTGGTGGAACTGATTTAGAATGCATTCACACACATACATACACACACACAAACACACACACACATACGTGCAAATGTACGCCAGCAAATTTAGTGCGCACTCCCACACAAACAGCCACAAAACTGCACATGCTTGTACAAAAGCAACTTTCACACATGCACTCACACACAGCCGGTGTCAGCGCAGGAGACAGATGCATGGTGACAGGGCCGCAGTACGCTGGATTAATACACTTAGTGTTCCACATGTCAAACTGCATCACTGCAATCATGAACATTTCAGGCATCTCTCTCTTTCTCTCTCAAACAGTCCCTCTCTCTGATTACTTCTCCCGCCGCAGCCAGCTGTCGAATCATCCCGCCATCCAGTCAACCAGTCAGTCACCTGCAGAACTACCCAGCAAGCCAGTGCACCACGACCATAGACTGTATACGTAATGGACGTAGCCATTATGACTTCACCCACTGGTTTGTGGACTCCTATTCTGAAGCCTTCAGTTTGCCATTCTGGTCGTCGCCATCTTGGTTTTCTGGAGCAAGAAGTGACCATGAATGAAAGGGTGAAGATAACCCTAACGCTAGCTGCTAGCTTAGTTAGCACAGTGCATTTACAGCTATGGTAATCAGTAATAATACTAATGCTAATGCTAATTTTCGCCAGTGAAAAACGGGCTTAAAACCATGAAGGGACTGTTCCTGACTTATGATGGGGAGGAGGTGGTGCACAACAGGGGAGGCAAATAATTTTTTAAGCACTGGGGAGGGACTTTTTTTTGGCTTAGGGAAGGAGCAAACAACTTTAAATGGTAGTATATTGTATTTATTTTAAATATCCCCTGAACCCCCAAACCCACCGGCAGGTTTGAAAGGCATATTTTCTTTACGAATAACCAAAACTACAGCCTTTAATGCAGCCAGAAACTGTAAATCCAAAAATTTTCTTTTTGAAAAAATTTAATCCACATCATCAAAAATTGAAGTTATTCATGGTAGAGGGAGGGTCGTGCATTTTCCCCCAGTCACTCGGCTCAAGCAAAAATATTAGTAGCTTTGGGGAGGGTCAAGATTAAACAAAAAAAAAAAAAATTAAGTCACACCTTAGCCACACCCCATCTCTGATGAATAAAGAACACTCCTGTTAAAAAATGTACGTACTGGAAAAACAACCAAACTTTCAGTACAACCAAACTTTAAACAAAACTTTTTAAAGCAATGAAATTAAAGTTAAAGGCGGATTTATACTTGTGTGTCTCTATGCAGAGCCTGCGGCGTAACCTACACCGTTGTGAGCATTTATACTTGTGTGGTGGTGTGTCTGTGTCACTCTGCTGTTACACCTCCAAGTCGGCAGTGGGGTTTCTGTGAAGTGCTGTAAAGTTTAGTTGATTCAAAACACACATTAAACACACATTAAACATGGCTTAATAACAACAGTTTCAAACACAAGTACACAAATCAGCTTCACTATAACTCGCAGCATTCACAGACAAACACACCCCACAAATACAATATGCTAACGTTATTAGCACAAGCCTATGGCATTTTACAGTACATGTGTAAATTAGCCTAGGGAGTAGCAGAGATTTCCCCTACTCATATGAAGCCACGGACAACAGCAACATTTAACAAAGGTAAAATTACAGCTCACATGCTTCACTGACAAAACAACTGCCTTATAGACAACATGTTTTCCAAACAAATACAACATGCTAACATTATTAGCACAAGCCTATGGTATTTTACATTGTATAAATTAGCCTAGCAACTATTTTAAAATATTAGTGTTAACATTGTAGCATATTGCACATATTATATTTGTACTTATACTCCTTATTTCTACCTCTATAATTCTCTTTGCTTGACATCAGAGCGACTTTAATGAACCGTGGATCAATACAGAATGTCTGATTGTGATCTTGATAATTTTTAACTGACACATAAAACTAATCAGCCAGTAAAACTAGTTCCCAACATGCCACTCAGACTACCAGATAGCCAACCAGCCAGATTAGCAATCGACCAGTCAGGGTAGCCATGGCAACAGCCCGGTGTGCTCCAAAAAGGACACAGACAGCAGAGCATACATGCTTTTTCATTTCTGTAATGCACTGGATGTGTGCACTTGTAGACATGCACAGTCCATGTGGTCGTCTGAACAGGATGTGCAGGTGTACGCTCGAGGACAAGTGCAGCTTCCAACATTTCTGTCGTGCAGACCCTTGCCGCCACATGGACGTGGATCGTGACCCAGTCTGATGGTCAAGAAGCCAACATACCAGTCCGAGAGCCAACTGGTAAGCCGGTCATTCAAGGTCGATAAACAGTCGAAGGTCGAGTCCATAAGAGGCCTGACATGTGGAGAATGCTGCTGCCATGATAGAAGATGTCATGTGAGAAGATCACAGGGGACCGCAGAGCATTTTGTGTACATGCGTGTTATCTCTCTGCTGCTACAGGCACAGGCGTGCTTATGTGTGCATGCAGAGGTGCAGATATGAGGTGTTGAGGAAGCTGGGGGTCAAGAGGAGAGCAAACAGCCACAGTAGCTGCATTCATTCTATTTTAGGATCCCCCTGCTGCTGTTTATGGCCACCATTCACCTCGTACCTTCGGTGGTTTAGCTTGGCTCTCTTCCCAAGAGGGCCACCACCGCCCTGATAATACACTCACATACTGAACCTGCAGTGATTTCTACTGATTGCTGAGACACTTTGTTGCTCCGGTGGCTCAAACTGCCTTGTATACACTGTGGAGAAACATTATTTTATCAGGAAACAACAGCAGGCTCAAGTTTGGGAAAATTGTTTTCCGACTGTAAGATTGCTGGGTTGAATACCAAGGTCTGTAACACTTCCTTCCTCCCTCGGTATCTATTGTTGAGTCGCCCTTGAATAGGACACAGAATCCCAGACTGCCTCGGCGTAGCTGTTAAGTGCCCACTGTACTGTCCTACTGCACTGGGTAGTAATAAAACTTTATTTTTATCGCACATTTCACACCGTGAAAGCAGCTGAAGGTTCTTCACAGGCAGCGCTACCACTGTGCGGCAGAGAAAACACAGCCAGAAGAAAAATATTAAGAGCAATTGATTGTCAGAATAAGCCAAGAGAAACTGCTTTACAGCTTCGCAGCAGCTTATTTGTTCGATACGCCTTCAGTATGAGGCAGACAGAGGAAGTGTCCCTCCTCATAAAGCTCCCTGAAATGTATCATGATGTGATCCAGACTATAAAAATTGAACAAACAGTAAAAAATCTGTTACTGAGCAGTGCTCCACATGAGGCCCTTCTCCCTGGTGTTGTTGGGTCATGGTCTGCCTATTTAAAATCAAATCAAGCCTCTGCAGGCTGTTGATTTACAGTACAGGCCTCATCATGAAATTTACATAAAAGCCTTTGCTTGTTACTTTGTGGCCTTGAGGTTAAAAATGCATTTATATGTATTTTAACATGTTAATTGCATTCCTTTCTCCATTTCAAGCAGGAAATTATTTCCATTAATGTAAGTATGCTGCATATTTGTGGTGATCCAGTCAACCTTCTATCAATTAAGTCTCATTTAAATCTTCACCTCAAGTCATTCCCAGTGTGACGACCCACTTGTAACTCTTTTTTATGTGTAAGCACATTAAACCACAGAAACATGAGACTTTTAGACCTACACATAGCAGTGCTGCACATTAGCTGCTCCAACTGACATCCTGAGAGAAAAGTGTGGCCTCTTCTCCGGAGCCTTTGTGCTCCACTGTCTCGCAGGTATCACTGGTATCGCAGCTACGCCTGAATCATGGGTTGTGGTTAACTGCTGCCGTAGTCCTGCCTGATGCTGACTACTACTGCTGTTACTATCACGCCTCGTTTCCACTTACGTATGTATACGGAGACGAGGCATCAAGAAGTCCATTAATTCCTATGTGAATCTCACATCCGATATCCGATGAGCCTGTGAAACTCCTCCTCACCTCTGTAATATTTCTGTCTGGAATTTGCCTTGTGAAACTGAACTTTAGCAGTGGATTTTGGAGGGACGTCTGTCTGTCCTCGAAGAGGGATCCCTCCTCAGTTGCTCTTCCTGAGGTTTCGACCATTTTTTTCCCTGTGAAAGGGTTTTTTGGGGAGTTTTTCATCCTCAGCTGTGAGGGTCTGCGACTGCAACTCAACCACATGTTGTGAATAACTACACACGGGTATACAGTAGTGGAACAGGAGGAGCCAGCTCAGTGGCCTAGTGGTAGAGTGTCCACCCTGAGACTAGGAGGTCGTGGATTCGATCCCCGGCCGGGTCATACCAAAGACTATAAAAATGTCACCCATTGCCTCCCTGGGTTGGAACTGGGGGGTTAGATTACCACATGATTGGTGGCACAGCTGCTGCTCACCACTCCCCCAGGGGATGGGTCAAATGCGGAGAACAAATTTCACACACTCAGGTGTGTCACAATCAGTGGAACTTTACTTTATTATAGACCTTTTTCACAACAGACATTTTGACATGTCATAGTAAGAAAATCACAGGTGTACACAGCTCATTATTTCCAGGAAGTTACTATATATAACTGTAATATTTCACAATAAATCATTATTATCACCTCACAGGCTTTTACTGTGATGTTTAACCAAATTCAGAACTTTACTGTGAAATTCATGCAGGTAGTTTTAGTTTAGTTTATTTAGTCCTTTGCAAGGAAATTCTTTTTTTTTTTTTACAGTCAGTGCAAAAACATTAAGAGACAAACGGGGGTTACATGACGTGGACAATAACATAGATATACAAACACACCACAGGCTGGAACATTGTCAGACAGATGTTATTCATACATTTAGGGCACTTACAGCTGCAGGAATGAAACTCTTGTTGAACTTGGCTTTTTGTGCAGAGGTAGCCTGTACCTATGGCCAGAGGGGAGGGGAATGAAGTATTGGTGGAGTGGTAAATATAGTAATTTTACTGATGCTAAATCACATTGATATGAGGAGTGTGAGTTTACAGTAAAATACAGTAATTCTGCTAAATCACAGTAATCAGATGTACATAACCTGTGACTATTAAATTCAGTAATTTACAGGAATGTACTGCTAAATCACAGTAATATGCAGGTATAACTACTGTGAGATCACAGTGTACAGCTGTCATTTCACAACAATTTACTGTAAAAGTTACACAGTACTTTACTGTAAAAGTGATCCAACTGATAGCCAGTAATTTACTGTAAATGTACAGTCAAATATTTACAACAACATTAATGATGGCTGCATTCCACTTAGAGGAGGCCTTGATATTATGCATTCTGGTAAGAAGAGCTTACTGGGACACTTAATGGAACTGAGTCATCATTAATGTTAGCAGTTTCACCTGTGCTTTTCCTACTGTAACAAAGTTAAAATGTCTGCTGTTGTGTGGTCATTACAGGTCTTTCCCAAACCACCGTCGACATTTTCTTCCTACGCACTTCCACTCTGTTTCAAATGGAGGGTCCGCCACATTAACTGGCATCCTAAACCAATTAGCTGGGAGTGAGAGTGGGTTATGTAGCCTTCCAACAGGGAGCCTGCATCTCTGCAGACTTACTCATCAGGTGCAACACCGTGTTGTGTTCATCAAGGAAGACGCTCCGTACGAATGTAGGCTTCATGCATCTACCCTCATATATGTAAACTACTCAAACTAAGACGGACAAAGAGAGACAAAAAAAAAAAACAAGCAGTTAATTAACATCAGAGTGAACAGCAAGAATATGTTTACAAAAAATTAAGAAGAAAAGAAAGAAAGAAGCTTGTGAGTAACTTTTATTTCAATTTATTTAGACTTTTTTAATGACAAAGGAATAATGTGCAAAAAGTCAGGTGAACAACAGCAGAACATACAGATCAAATAAAGAGATATATGACATGTTTAGTGGGAGTGGGGAGGGTCAGGAAGGCTCTATGCTTTACTCACTTTTTAAAGAGAAACCTGATGAGATACATGGACACAAGTACATAACACCTTGTGAGGTACAAAGCTGGCAGACACGAGAAGACACCGGCAAACTCCCAAAAAGAGGGTTATATTAACTTAGAAATGACGCTTACAATTTACAAAATATGTAACAAAGTTCTGGCTGATAAGAGGTAAACTAGCAGAAATGAAGTTCAACTTAAGTTCAATCAGGGAGACTATCTTTATGTTATATCCATTCCCAGTTCCCTCTCTATGCCACTGCTCCCTCCAGTCAGCTGACTATAGGCGTTCCCTCTCCTGGTTAGCCAGTCAAACTTTGCCACGATCTCCTTCAGACATTCATGTTTAAATCTCTCCTTCTCTCTGCTCCTGTCAGCTGTCATTTTCGGCAGAATCATCACACCCTCCTCTATCTCATTCACCTCCAGTCACCTCATCCAGACCCCAGAATGAGCTCATCCAAAGTCCACTCCTCTTTGCATCCAGATCCTCAGCTTCCTCTTCATCTCATCTCATCATCACCACCAGCATCTAGATTCTGCAACGTCTTTACCACCCTCCTGGAACAGATGACATCACGATGGGGTCTAAATGCCAATGATTCTTCACATTTCTCAAACCTGTGTGCACATGTAAATAAATATTCTTTTCTCTCGGAACGAGTCTCTCCTGATTGAACTTAATGCAGGCTGTGCTAATGTCACACCAACTGAATAAAACTAACCTAACAAAAACTAAACTGACCACAGAGGGAAACATACATATAATGGCAGGTCAGACCATTTTCAAAACAACTGGATAACACAGAGACAAACACTTCCAACTTAACAGGACATTTAGTCCATCAGTATACATATTTCATCAATCAACCAACCACAAAAGCACCAACACACTTATATAGTCTAAAGCTCTGGATCTAAACTGGTCCAACAATGTGGTCAAGACTTCTCCTCAGTCATTAGTTCAAGGCCCACACAGTTTAATATATTCAGCATCACACTAAGGTCATCACACTACCTGGCCATGTTGTTGAGCTAGTTTGCTGTCTCTGTCAAGTAACTGTCCATTAGTCACTCACTCTACAGCAGGAAACTGCACTTCAAAATAAAACCTCTGTGCTGAAAATTTACTGCACTTAAAAAATAAAGTGTTTTTTTTACAAACTTGACATGTTTACGAGTCACTTGCAGTCCATTCAGAAACCACTGGTTTAAAGAAATAAACAAAATCTCTGAATTAGATACCCCTAATGAACTCTACAGAAAACTAAGGTGTGTTCAGGGGTGTTAAAGGAGGTAATGCATCTAGTGTAGTTTCCTAGATCAGTGGTTCCCAACTGGGGCAGCCACACGGCCCAGATTTCTCCCTCAATCATTTGTTCAAGGTCCACACAGTTTTAATATACTCAGCATCATACTTGTGTTTGGCCATGTCACTGAGCTAGTTTGCTGTCTCTGTTAAGTAGCTATCTGTCATTTACTCGTTCTACAGCAGGAAATGGCACTTCAAAATAAAAGCTCTCTGCTGGAAATGAACTGTACTTAAAAATAAAGTGTGTTTTTTACAAACTCGGCGCATTCCCGAGTCACTTGTGGTCCATTCAGACTGAACTCATGACCCACTTTTGGACCACATCCCACCAGTTGGTAACCACTGCTCTAGATTGAATATGTTCCTGTAAACGCTCCAGAGCATGGGATGAGTCATCACAAATATCTGAACATTTTACAGGAGGACACGAGGCAGGGATTTTGATAAATAAATACTCCATAAGATTTTTTGACACATCTCTGACAGATACTGGGGACACGAGATAAAAGCCTGGAAAAATTTCCATACCTGGCATCAGAATTTCATTTAGGCAAATAATTTAAATGTGCAGATGGCAAAGCTTTCAGTAACGGCCTATCATGATGAGACAGGTGGATTTTCAGTGCCTGGTGCACTTTAACCGAACTCTTTAATCTCATTGCACCCTTTTAAAGAACGTTATCAGATTGAGCATAGACGGTGTGTCAGCATATTCTGTCTGCTTACACCTGGATTCAGCTGCATGTGTCACACTTTCACAGACACAGTGCTAAACTCAGCAAAACAACACTGCCTAAAAATATTGTTGTGTTTTTGCTTTTTTTTAGGTTGGAGTAGTTTACATTTCAGCTCACTTTTTTTTTTCTCTGCATAGCTACAAAGACTCATTTATAAGTCCCCCCCTCCTCTCGCTCTCTGAAGTGTCTTGGTTTCCAGTAAGGAATTTGTTTACTGGCTGAGATGGCGATGAAGCTGTAAACTCCTGTTAGAGCGTGACAGTAATCCCTGAGCTGGATCTCAAACTGTTTAAAGCTAAGCCTGTTCCTTACAGTGGGCTTTTTGGAACGAGCCTGCGCCACATGCTTCCGCTGGCTGCTGGCCACACTGGACACACACACACATGAAGGTATGCGACCCCACACAGATGGAAATAGATATAAGCACGCTGGCACACTCGCTGTTAGATCCAGAGTTTAGAAACATTAAGATATGCTCATAGCTTTTATAGCATTTCTGTGCATTTAATGCACTGAAACGTCCGTCACAAAATAATAAACAAAACTAATAAAATACAGTAAATTTTATACACAAATATTATTCAAAATCAAAAACAAATTGACATAAAAATACACACAAATTTGAGATTTCAGCTATGATTTTGGAGGTCAGAGGTCATGGTCACTGGGACCTTGTCTGTCTCATTCTTGTGAATGGATAACTCGATAACACCTTGAGGGAATTTCTTCAAATTTAGCACAAACGTCCACTTGGTGTGAACAGTGAATTTATTAGAAATTTGTGGTCAAAGGTCACTGTGACCTTGCATCCGTCTCATTCTCATGTACGCAATATCACAAGAAGGCCTTGATGGAGTTTTGTCAAATTTGGTAAAAACGTCCTCTTGGACTGAAGAATAAACTGATTGGACTTTGGTGGTCAATGATCAAGGTCACTGTGACCTTACAAAACATGTTTTTGGCCATAACTCAAGAACTGATACGCTAACTATGACAACATTTCACATAGATGTCTAACAGGATAAAATGATCAACTGATGACATTTTACATCCAAAAGGTCAAAGGTCAGCTTCACTGTGACATCATAATGTTCTGTCTGTTTTTCGATGTCATATCTCAGGAACAGAAGAGGAGACATTTGGTCAGATACTGAATTGGTGACTAATTTTGGGTGTCCACCTTGAAACTGTGCTGTCTGTATAGACTGTATAGATCCTCTGAGCTGTCAGGGGGAGACTTGTGTTTGAAGCATTTTTGTTTCCACAGACATGAATATAAAATGTATGTGCAACTTGACTGCTTCGCGGAGGCATGCAACCACAAAATGGTAATTCTAGTTTTAATTGGCATAATTAAAAGAAAAAAACAATGTCAACATTTTACCCTCCAAAGTCAGTTCTGTAAGAAACTGAAGCCTATAAATACTTCAAATCCAAAAGCAGCTATAATCGCAACTCAAACCACAGATGTGTTACATTATGGGGCAGATATTGTAGGCTATAACTTAACATTTCAACAAAGCTGTAGTGAATGTATGGTGAGGTTTATTGCTGGTTATCGTTAGGAAATACTCACGTTTAATATCTAAGGTTCTCACCAGAAAAGCAGCTATGATTGTAAAAACAATGGCTTTTCATGCTACTATCCCAGCAGGAAACATATTGATGTCTTGGTAAAAAAATAACCACTTTTCATGCCACTATTGTGACAGGAAATGCAGTGATGTCATGGTTAGAAACAACCACTATTTGTGCCCTAATCCTGTTGGAAAAACAGCAGTGTCTCAGTGCAATACAACTCTCTTTGTGCAGTTATCACAGCAGGAACCGCAGCAATGTCTTGATTCGAAGCAACCACTTTTTGTGCCATAATCAGTGCTGGAAAAGCAGCCATGTCTCAGTAAAAAACAACTGGTTTTCATGCCACTATCCTCGCTGGAAAAGCAGCAGTGTCTTGGTAAAAAAAATACCCATGTATGGTGGCTGTAAAGCCTTTGAAAATGCAGTGATGATTCATTAAAGCATTACTCGTTTTGATATGTTTGAAATGTGCAAATGTAACATTCACTAACATTTTCTTTTGGCCACTGGGCTAACAACCAGTATTTTTATATTAACAAACAATAATGAGTCACATGTAGAATCCCATCACTCATAGCAAGACTGATTTGGAAAATATGTTTTTAGGGCCTTTATTAAAGTATCATGAGCCTGTACATAGACCCACTGAAACACAATCATTAGTGTACACACAAGAACATTTGACCCACATGTTCTGATGGAAACAAGTTATGCTCTTACTCCGCTGCTCTAACAATATATTTCCTCTAAATGTGTCTGACTACCTGTAGATGTGAAGACACACACACACACACACACACACACACACACCTGGCTGCTGTTCCAGGGTCTGTTATAATGAGGCTTACATGTCAACAGTGACACAGACTTACACTCTGTCACTAAACAGCAGAATTGTTGACAGTGTAAGCAGCCAACATAAAGGATTTTAACCAAAACCCAAACAGTGCTGAGCCTGATAGGGGAGATGGTGATCTGATCAGAGTCCATGGGAAGCGGCACTGCAATATTGACTCAACAATTTAGCTCAGAGTTTTTTTTACTCTGCAAAATCCATGGCAAAACAACGAGATATCACATGACGACACCTGCTACTGTTCAGTTGTGTTTCAAGTTTAAAAAAGGAGCAGATTTGTGACTGCCAGGCTTTTTTTTACTCGTTTCATTACTTACAAAAACCCTCTGTACCTTCACTTCTCAGCGAATATTTTCTCTCTGAGTGCTCACTGTAGAGAAACTGGAATTTGTTTTACCGTCTATGAAGGTGCTGCGACCTCAGGCTCATAGTACTCATCATTGGTTCCCCATCTAGGTCGAGAAACTCACTTTAAGTCACATTGTGCAGTAAATTAGCGTCAGCAAATATGTACACATGACCTTTGGAAATTGTCCATGTGTTGCTGCATGCACTGCCAAATGACGACAGTGATACATGCCTCTGTGGTCTGAAGGGAGCAAAGATTAGTTTGTATAATGGAGAAGTCTGTTTGATGTGAATTAATGGCTTTAAGGCGACAGAATTAAATCCTGAGAACCACATGAATCTATGAGCTCGTGTTTTATTTGCTCTGACAGATGCGTCTGGTCCCTCTGCCAGGTCCAGGTCAGGCCAATCACAGCCAATTAACTTATATAGGGCACGTTTGAGATGATGACTGACAACTAATGGAGCTTTTGTGCTTTATGCAGAATACATAACGACATCAGTTTCAGCCTGCACACCCTCTCACTGTGGACATATAGTGAGCATAAACCTAGTTTAGTGAAGCGACCAAGATGGCTGCAACCAGTGTTGGGCTCATCACTCCAAAAATATTGTTCATTACTCGTCACTCTTTTCAAAGTAATATCATTACTGTACTTATTACTCCTTGCTAACAGTAATTAGTTATACTACTCGTTATATTACTTTTCTGTTACACCCCATAAATTTGGTAATTGCGTATCTCCCCAAAGTTCAGATGTGTGCTACAGCTGTCCATGAGTAAAATCCAGTTTTGGTTGTTTAGCTAGTGCAG